CTTGACATCCTGGGTGAGCTTTGGCCAGTAGTAGCGAGTCCGAATCCGGGCAAGGGTACGTGCGAATCCTAGGTGGCCGGAGGAAGGCTCGTCGTGGCAGGCAGATAAAATGTCAGCACGTAGCCCTGGTGGAACGACGAGGAGGTACTCAGTCGCATAAGGTTCGAAGTTCTTTTTGTAGACGATGTCATTGCGGAGACAAAATGACCCTGAACGTGCAAATGCCGATGGTGGACTCGAGCTGCGACCTTGAAGGTATTTGATAAGTTGTTGGATCTCTGAATCATTCCACTGTTGTTGGGCCAAGTCGGATTCACTGACTGCACAAAGAAAATGGCCATCGGTACCATCGTCCCTCGATGTCGTCGCGAGGGGTGCGCGCGAAAGGCAATCAGCATAAGTGTGCCTGCGGCCCGACTTGTAGACGACTGTAACCTCGAATTATTGAAGGCGTAAGCTCCACCTCGCGAGGCGCCCTGAAGGGTCCTTGAGATTGGCCAGCCAACAAAGGGCATGATGGTCCGTAACTACTCTGAATGGACGGCCATACAGATACGGTCGGAACTTTGTTATCGCCCAAATAACAGCAAGACATTCATTCTCCGTGGTCGAGTAGCTAGTTTCCGCAGGTGACAAAATGCGGCTAGCATAAGCGATGGGACGTTCAGCGCCGTCTTGCCACTGGACGAGTACTGCACCAAGACCGATGTTGCTTGCGTCAGTGTGAAGTTCGGTGGTGGCATCTTCATCAAAGTGCCCTAGTGAGGGTTCACTCTGAAGGCACTGCTGAAGCTGGGAAAAAGCGGCTGTCTGCTCTGGACCCCACACAAAAGGAGTATCCTCCTTCGTTAAACGAATAAGGGGTTCAGCGATGTTGGCAAAGCTCTGGACAAAGCGCCTGTAGTAGGCGCAGAGACCCAAAAACCGGCGCAAATCCCGTTTGTTCGAAGGTGGAGGAAATGCAGCAACAGCCATGGTCTTTTCTGGGTCTGGTCTAATGCCATCGTGACTGATAAGGTGGCCGAGGAACTTTAGTTCTTCGTAGCCGAAATGACACTTCTCCGGTTTTAGAGATAGGCCTGCGGATCGAATAGCGACGAAGACGGACTGAAGTCGTTGTAAATGTTGCTCAAAGGTTTTGGAAAAAACAACGACGTCGTCTAAATACACGAGGCAGGATTCCCACTTCAGACCGGACAGGACGGTGTCCATCATCCTTTGGAACGTTGCCGGTGCAGAGCACAATCCAAATGGTAACACTTCGAATTCGTAGAGGCCATCGGGAGTTATGAATGCTGTTTTTTCCCTGTCACGTTCATCGACCTCAATCTGCCAGTAGCCGCTGCGTAAATCCATTGAGGAAAAATATCGGGCATGTCGAAGTCGATCCAGTGAATCATCTATGCGTGGGAGAGGGTAGACGTCTCTCTTCGTCACTTTGTTGAGCTTCCGGTAATCGACGCAAAATCGAAGAGTGCCGTCTTTCTTTTTAACAAGTACGATGGGTGACGCCCATGGACTGTTCGAGGGTTGGATGACGTCGTCGTCGAGCATCTGTTTTACTTGAAAACGTATTGCCTCTTGTTCTTTTTGCGACAAGCGGTAGGCTCGCTGTCGTACAGGCCGTTCGGTAGGGTCCGTTATAATGCGGTGCTTCACGGTTGGGGTCTGCTTGATTTTGGAGGTGGACGCAAAGCAATCACTATACGTACGTAAAATCATGCGTATCTGCTGTTGCTGCGCACAGGATAGCTGGCAATCCACGTCAACCGTACTGGCTATATCAGTGTTACCTTCGGCAGCAGTGGCAATCGGAGCGATAGTGGAATATTCTGCGTCATCGATGGCTTCAAAGTTCGCGATTGCTGTTCGCTTTGCTAAGTGTTGGTACTGGCCGCCGAAATTCGTGATCAGAAGCTGAGTCCTCCGATGATTCAGTTTGACGATAGCACGCACGACACAAATCTGCCGAGCCAAGAGCACCGAGAGGTTAGTTTCCGCGATGCCACTACTCTTGTTGTCACAGTCGCTCTCCACCGTTACCAACATACTGGCTCGCGGCGGCAGTGCGATGGTGTCGTCAGCAATTCGAAGTGTTGTGGTCGGTGCAACTGCATCCTTTCGTAGGGCTGTATGGTCGTTAGATAACGTTATGAGCAGGTCTCGAAGGTTAATAATGGCTCCATGCTCGCGGAGAAAATCTATTCCGAGAATCAGGTTTTGGGAGCATTCGCGCAATACAACGAAGGAAACAATGTACGTCGACTCACGAATACAGAGGCGGGCAGTGCACATTCCTAGCGGTGTCAATAGGTGACCTCCTGCAGTCCGGAGGTTGGTTCCATGTCCCCAAGGTGTCGTTACCTTTCTTAGCTGTGCAGCGAGGTCAGCGCTTATAACAGAATAATCGGCACCCGTATCTACCAGAGCGGTCAGCGGGTGGTTGTCGAGAAGAACAGAGATACGAGCAGAGACCTGTTTGTCGTCGATGGCACACGTCGATGAAAGAATGTCGTCGGATGTCGGCAGGCCAATCGGGGGAGGGTCTTGTAACGGTTGATCAACAGCGGCCTCACCCCCAGAGGTCGCTGTTCTTAGTTTCCCCGGGGTTTAGGGACCGGGAGGGCAAAATAAACTTTAAGCGGGTAGACTTAACCAGAAGGAGGTTATCTGATTGGTGGCTAAAGTCAAGACACGAGTGAAAATTAAACTCTTCACTGCAAAGTACGAATCCTCAAACTCACTTTTTAAGGAAAAAAAATAAATATAGTTTTTGGTTCATTAGGTGTTACGGCTTGGTGGCGCTAGCCACCGCCCGATCTAAAGGGTACAGCCATATCCATCCATCCATCCATCCATCCATCCATCCATCCATCCATCCGGCGCGGGCTTGTGGATCTAGGTGATCTTCCTGCAAGGACGTCCGCAAAGGTTGATTGTTGGCCAGGTGACGTGGAACGCTGTGGAGATGGTGAGCGGGATTGGCGACGAGGAAGGTTTGAGGATCGTTGGCTTGCCAAGTATTCGGCGATAGCACGGGGCCGCTCACCATCTCTGGGTTGACGAGCATCCGGACGAAAGCCGGGAAGACCCATGTGCCTGTAGGCTCACTCACGGTAGATGTGACCTGGTTCACCACAGTGATAACATAGAGGCCGTTTGTCGGGAGCACGCCATACACTGGATTTCCGTGTAAGGGGTGGGTTGCCGTACTGCGGTGGTCCCGAGTAGAACGACGATGCCGTCTGCAGGGTGGACGGACGGGACGGATTGCCAACAGCCGGTGCAGGAGTACGCAGTGCTTCTGCGTCCAGCCGAAGTTCCGCGTAGCGGAGCTTCGGCTGGACGCGGGGCCGCCATGGGTTGGACTTCGGCTGCACGCAGAGTCGTCATGGGGTGCACCAGCTGCCGGACCTCTCCGCGAACGACATCCGTTAAAGCAGCAACATGGGGCGGAGAAGACACCACGTGCAGCTTTTGCAGCTCCTCGCGCACAATACTGCGCACGAGCTCCGTCAGGTTTTTTACAGTCGTGACGTCAGGTGTTTGTAGGGCCGACGACACTGACGAAAGACTGCCAGGATGTTCATACTGGTACGAACGCTGCCTTAGCATTCTCTCCATTGTCGTGGCTTCGCGAAGGAAATCCTCTACAGTGCCTGGAGGGTTCCGCACTAGTCCCGCGAACAGCTGCTCCTTCACTCCCCGCATTAGGAGGCGCACCTTCTTTTCTTCCGTCATTGAAGAGTCGGCTCGCCTGAACAGCCGCATCATGTCCTCCACGAACATGGCAACACTCTCGTTCGGACGCTGGTTTCGGGAAATGAGGAGGCGTTCCGCTTGCTCCTTTCGGTCAGAGCTTCGGAAAGTATTTCGCAACTGGTTGCAAAACTCTGGCCAGGTTGTCATAGTGGCTTCATGGTTTTCGAACCAAGTGCGCGCAGAGTCCTCGAGATAAAAGTAGACGTACCGAAGCTTTCGCTGATCGTTCCACTCGTTGACGCTGCCGCAACGGTTGTAGTCGTCGAGCCAGTCGTCGACGTCCTCATAAGGGTCACCGTGGAACGGCTTCGGAGTACGGGGGACTTTGAAGAATCATGGAGGAGGCAGCGTTGATGTTTCTTGGGTTTGCGTTCGCGCACTGACCATAGTACTGCCGAGTTGAGGAAATGGTCCGAATTCAGGACGTAGGCCTAGTTGTCGCCTGCTACGCCGTAGGTCAGCTGGTTCTTCCAAGTCGCGGCTAGTGTCGGGATCTTGCTGCTGATTGCAGTGCATACAACACTACCCAGCACCTCCACCAGAAAATGTCACGTGATCACAGAACGACCACAACGTCTGTTCACAGGAGCAGCACTGGACGTCGAGCCGAACCGAACGTTAGAGCACGAGCAGACACCAACCGTCCTCTTCTTCTTTCACACCTTGGCACATACTCGCATTGGCATGGCTAAACCTCGTTCCATGCCTGTGGCAATATATATAGCGTCTTTTTATAATGTGTTGCTCAAAAAAAAAACTATGCAACGCGGTCACCTTTTTTCTGCGTGTTTTGCATAAAGTTGTTTCCCGAGTACTTGGTACCGGCCACTTTTTTTTTAGAGCGAAAGATTTCGAATGTTGGTATAATCAGAAAGTGCGAGTTTTGAGCCCTCGTCACTGCATGAACGTGCGCAAGTGCAAATTCAAGCTGTCTACCACGTGGTGATTTAAAACCTTGTAACCAGCTTCTTTACAAAGCCCCTTGTAAGCGTCAAATGAAACCCGAACAACGGCAAGCCTTATCGACAATGTAGTGCACGCCGTCCAGTTATCAACGTTGACAGGCGCGCGCATACTGTTTGGCAGCTTTGCCCATATACGCGTGCTCTCCACAGCTATAGCTGGATGGCATGCACTATACCATCGTGAAGGCTTGCCGCTGTTAGGGTTTAATTTGACGTTGATAGTACAAACCTTTCAAGCAGATAACAGTTTTCATGCCCCAGGCGGGAACTCACCGGGTTTCTTTTCTTGATCGGGTCCAGCCAGCCGCGACAACGAGGAGCGATGATTACCGCCGATTGAAGCACTCGTACACGCAGCGTTCGATTTAACAAGCCGTTCGGATAACTACGCAGCACAGCACGTCGCACAGCGTTTGCCGAGCGCTTCTCCGTTGGAACACCCTGATTACGCTGAGGCCCGCGTCTCTTAGGGCACGGGAAAGGATGTGCGACAATCCGGCCCGTCGTAGAACGGATACATAGGAGTAGGAGAGGTGACAGCTTTAGGCGGAAGCGAAAGGGCATAACGCCGGAAAAGCATCCACTTTTTTCATATCTCACTCCTTTGACATCCGCTTACGACTAAGGAGGCGCACGTCAGAACCTCTCGAATTGCGTCTTCCCTTTTCGTAAACGCTGCCTTTATACGTTACGCTGGCAAGCGCACTTTAGAGCCTACGCTGAGCTGAATAAAAACTGAGCGAATGTATAGTGCTATGATTGAGTATTCATTACTTCACAAGTGAGTGGTGACAGGATTGGCGCCACTTGCGATACCTTCATCGATTGCGGTTCCTTACAGCTTCGTAGTATCAAATATTTCAAGCCTCTTTTATTCTTCGTTTAGGTACTGCAGCATTGCATGTTGTTGTTTGTATGTGCACGTATAGTAGATGTTTATGCTGATTATTTGACTTTCTCGCTTCGTTTCTGCTTTGTTTTATCAATTTGTTCTCAGAGTACTGGTTATAATACAATCGGTAACTAAAGTAGCTCTCTTATCATTTGTACAGAACCGATTGCTACCGACGAATACTACTGCGCAAAGCGGCATGCCTTCATGTCTGTTCTGTGTGCTTGTTGGTGAGATCACTGTTCGTGAGATCATTTTCATATGCGAGCGCATATGTGTATTTCACACGCAGGGGCATGTTTAAAGAATTTTCGCAGCAAACGACAGTACTGCATAAAGTCAGCTAAACACTAGCATTTGCTAGCGCATTTCAGTAGCTGTATATTCTGGTAACCTTGATTAGGAAGGTATATTCACCATACTGGCACGAATCAGTACACAACAAAAGTTCAGGTTATACGAAGAAAACTTCCCTCATATAAAATCCTTGCTCAATAATAGCGTGCCCTACACTCTAACAAAAAAAGTTAGTAATCAACTAGTTAACGCCTGCGTTTACTAGTTTACGGAGTATTTTACTATCTTCGCGGCATACTTTTACTAGCCACCAGCTAGTAGAGCTAGTAACTTTAGCCGTTACTAACCAGGCAGGCTTTCTTGGTGTTTTTTTTTACCTAGGGAACTACTTAGCCACCTACGTTGCCAGATATTTCATAGATTCCGCAGTATATTTTGCTTTAATGGTGACATCATAAGCAATATTGAGGCAAGCTCTAACTTTATTGGCTACCTTGGAATAGAAGTTTCGTGCTACGTAATGGTACACACGTAATTAAATAGAAGGGGACATGATGATGCATAGACAACAGCAACAAACTCTGTGACTGCTAACCAGTACGCTGTGTTCGGCCCCTAAGCAGGGGTATATATAACCTATAGTCTTGATGCTGCTGCTGCAGTATATTTATACAATGTCCAAGTCTTGATATTTACTTGTGCACGTGTTCTCGTGATCCGCACATTAGAGTTCTCATACTCATATTAGCATATAATCAAGTGAGTATGAAAATTATATGCTCATATAGACTCGTATAAGCATATCATATGCTCATATAGGTCCATGTGAGCATATGAGATTAACAAATGATCATACATAAATCATATGATCAAGTCGTCAATTTTTTATGAGTATTTTGCTGTGATGCGCACTTACCCCAGTAAAGTTACATGAAGTAATTAAAAGCCATTATTATTTTACGAGGGCCATTGCAATTCATTTTCATCCTATATTTTCGTAATAGAATCATATTGATATGGCCACGCACACGAACATTCAACAAAATAGGCGTAAGCCTCAATTTGCGGCGCCTACCAACAATTTAGTAATGAACTAACCACTCGAGTCAGCACTATTCACTAACTAACTAGGTAGTGATTTTAACTACCCAACGACGTTGTGCTTTTAACCAGCCTGGCAGTATTTGGGCTATGTTTTTTACTAGCCCAATGAAGTAGTGCCTTTCACTAGGGTTGCTTTTACTAGCTGCCTTTACTAGCTGGTAAGTGGATTCTGTGACAAGTAACAGTCTAGACTTAGTAAATATACCAACCTTTTTTCGAAGAGTAAGAATTTACAGTTCTTCATTCAACACAATTCATTTTGAACAGTAGGACACATCAGAGACTAATTAATCACATTTAGTCAACTTTAACACCAAGGCTACCGAGTCCTCGCTTCTCACATTCCTTACCCGTGACAACTAGATGATTGAAATGATTTGTTAGATTGCACTTATTTCGGAAATTGGCTGATGTTTTTATTGAGAACTCGGACGTCACACTCTAATAAAAACGTGGATTGAAAACACTTGGGAGAACAGTGAACAAAATATTTTTGGTGTTTTCCTTTTCCTATCTCATTTTTACACGTTGGTCGCTTCAATTCGTTTTTCAATAAACGCTATCTTTCACACTTCACAAAACATTTTCTTTTCTACCGAAGTATATGCCTCAATACCATAGTCATTGACATAATGTACCTGTTACATTTTTCAGAATGACAGCATTGTCCGACTCATTTTTACCGCTCACCGCAATCGAGTGGAACGACCTTCCCGCTTATGAAGAGCCATCCAGCAGCTTGAGGAGGCCCTGGCAAAGCAGAGGAGAAAGGGAGCCGACGCCCTGGACAACGTGAGCGGAGGAGCCCGAGTATCCAACGCCTAGCCGGAGCACAACGTCCTCAAGAGCTAGGCCCTGGGACTATATGACTCTATTAGCCATAGTCTTCAGATAGGGAATACCCGCGCCCTGCGTGGCCGGTGACTTTCCGCACGCCAGATGCGTAAATAAGTGTTGTTTCTCTCTCTTCCCGCTTATGTTCGGATCATGCACCTACAAATAACGCTTTCGCCAAGCGCTAACAAAAGTGGTTTAAAGAAAAAGCTTTTTTACTTTACTCACTCCTTCACCTTATGTATGTATGTATGTATGTATGTATGTATGTATGTATGTATGTATGTATGTATGTATGTATGTATGTATGTGTGTGTACGTATCTATGTATGTATGTATGTATGTATGTAAATACTCGTATGTGTGTGTATGCATACATGCGTGCATGTGTAGATTTCTGTAATTCATGCGTCGCCGCTCAGGCACATTTTAGGAAGACTGATTGCTGCAGTACACTCTGAAGTGTTCCCGAGTCGAGACTGTGGTGCTTTGAGATAAGTCCGCAGCGCCGAATATGCTTTGTGGGAGACAAAAAACTATGTTGTACATTCAGTAGGTCACCCCAGCTACAAATGTTACGTAACAAGGGGACTGCATGTATAAATATGAAAAATAAGTGAATGAGTGAATAATTCATTAAAAGCACCGAAAAACTATCATTCGGCCTTGACATTCGCACTTTCTTTTAAAAATTTTACTATTACATTGATCAAATGATCAATTGCCCAACACATTACGTTTAGTTCAAATTGTAATAGATATGTGGCGGCAGCCAAGCCAACCCGCCAGGCAGCGTCACCCTCCGCCGCTCTCCAGAATCTTTAAAAAGAACCCGATAAAACTAGTTGATGTTTGAGATTCGCGCCGCGCGGTTGTATCTGCTTCTGCTGCATGTGCACGGGTCCCAACAGTGGTGATCCGGGCGAGGCTTACCGCCTTTTTCAAGAGATTTACGCCATGGATACTTCCCCTCACACAGCGGCAATTTCCGCTGTCGATATCAGGTTTTCGCCGTTTTGGACAGCGGACCTGCAGTTTTGGTTGCTGCATGTGGGGTCCAAATTGACCTCTCGTAGTATTGCCGCTGAGCTAACACGGTACCAGTGGCGTACGTACCAACTTTATTGCAAGTGTGGGAGTGCAGACATGCCTCACTTGTCAACCAGGGTAATATAAAGGGCGTCCCAGGTAGCTTTAGCCCAAGTTTACCAATATGCCGGCACATGCAATTACGACGCGACCAAATGCGTGTTGCTCACCGTTGCCTGTAGTTAGACAATTTTTGTGTTCTGAAATATTGTGTAATAAGATCTCTTTAATTATGGAACTTTTGAAGGAACGAAGATGGATAAAAAATTCAATGAAAAAGTTGTAGATCAGCTTGCAAAATGTCCAATTAGAATATTTTAAACTTTTTATCTGGTAGGTATTAGTGTTTTCCTGCTGATTACAAATGCCGTCGATAAACAAAAAATAGCACGTGACAAACCGACTAGTGTGCCAGTGCGAACAGTGACTCTAGTGCTCCCTTACGTTCCGCGTACGTACGAGCATAACATTTCCCCCATGGTGCTGTCTCGGCAGACCCGCAACGATGGTTGAGGCTTTACGATGAACACATTTTGCTATCGGCCCCGAAAACGATATTCACTGTGACTGCTTATCGCGTCACGAGCCGTCACTATTGCTGAACCGTTGTGAGGGAAACGTCTTGTTCGTACGCGTAACGTTAGAAACTACTAGAATCATCGTGCGCACTGACGTGCGAGCGAGTTGGTCACGTGGTATTTTTTTTATTTCGCCAGAATTTGTAACTAGCAGAAAAACACTGATACTTAACACATGAAAAGTTGAAAACTATCTATTCGGACGTTTTTGCAAACCCATCTACAAATTTCTCAATGCAATTTTTATTAATTTTTGTTTCTTCAAAAATTAGCCTAACTCCAGGCAACGGTGAGCAACAGGCATTTGGTCACTTCGGAATTGTGTGTGCCGGCATAGTTTCACTCTGGCTGTTACCTGAGACACACACACACACAGACACACACACACACACACACACATATATATATATATATATATATATGTGTGTGTGTGTGTGTGTGTGTGTGTGTGTCAATAAGAAGAAAGAAAAGTGGGAGAAAAATGACCAGCCGTGAGCAGGAATCGAACCTACGACCTTCGAAGAACGCGTTCAATGCTCTAACCCCTGTGCATTGTGGTTAGAGCATCAAACGCGTTATTCGAAGGTCGTAGGTTTGATATCTGATCCCCCACGAGTGGTATATCGCAGATCGAAGAACTTACGCGACATACTAACCTCATCAAGAATTAC